GCCACCTATTCGATGTGCCGGTTAACCACACACGCTCCATCGAACTATGACAAACAATCAGTCACCCTTTGCCACCTTTGCTTAGAGCCCAATTAATGTGCCGGTTAACCACACACGTTCCATTAACGTCTTAGCAAGGGTACAAAGTGTAATTTCATGGAATTGCATCAAATTCATTTTTGCCTAAAGTAACTAAGATTGGGAATTTTGTAAAAAACATTTAGTTACTTTTATAATTCATTATACTTATTAATGAGAAGGTGGTTGCCCTATCCTACCCGTTCGGCTAACGACCCTCCACCAATCAAGGAAGCGGTGGGTGAGAGTGGACACCCAATAAACGACCATTTTATAGGCCATAACCTTATACCTGATGGGTTTTATGCATAAGAAACAATCCTATGTGCTCATACAAACCCTAATGCTTGGATCTAGGTTTCTCTATTGTACATGCTTTGAATCCAAGTCTTGCAAACCCTAAACTAGCATACATATTATCAAAATAACAAACAACATCAGATCTAGATGTTTACCTCTTCAAATAGCTTGAATCATCTTTGCTTGAGCTTAAAATCACAATTGTAATTCCTCTAATGGATCACAAACACCAAGTAGCAAGAAGGCAATAAGAGAGAGGAGGGAGGATGCTAGAAATCGGCCTAGGGTTTCTCTTGGAATAATGTCTAGCCGATTTCCATAGCCTAGGGGTCATATTTATACTTGCAGGCTTACTAGGGTTTCAGTCTAAACCCTAATGGACAGCTTAGCCACCAAGCAGCCCAAGGAACCTTCTAGAATAGGGCCTTGGACGAAATATGATGATCCTTTCATCATTTTTTCGTTCCCCCTCTTGTCCATTAGGTTTCCTAGCCCAAAAACCAACTATCACACATTTGACAGTTTATACCCCTTTATTTAATTAATCTCTTTTAGTCACCAAATTAATTCCTAATTAATTTATGACTAATACTAATTAAATAAATATGATTTCTCCTTTAATATATTATTCTTATAATATACTAATAAACCATAATATCCTCTCTCTCATATCAAATTACCTTGTCAAGTTGCTTTGGTGAAGGCAACCCAGAAGGACCATGCACAACCGGGTCAAGTACATACCAAATATAGTTACGGGCTTAGACACTAATCCAACAATACCCCCCTTATAGATTGGCTTCGTGAATAAGACCTACTAACGGTAAGACTAGCATTTAAGTTATATATATATATATATATATATATATATATATATATATATATATTATTATCTTATAATATTATAAAGTATAAGGTTGAATTTTAAAACTTGTAAAATTCTAAGGTTTGAAATTTAAATAGTTCAAATTAAACTTTTAATCACAAAATTTAAATTTCAAAACTTGAGGACAAGTTTTGAACTTTTCAAAACACAAAGGATCAAATAGCAAATAATTTAAATTAACCAATTAATTTAATGATTATCTAAATTTGACCTAGTCAATTTTACTTGCAAGATAATTCAACAATTAATTCAAATAATCAAATATTATCAAATAATGAATTTATTATTTAAGCAATTGGTAATTATCTTCTGATTTGGTAAGGATAATCTTAAAACAGTGATAAAATTCAGATTTTATTAGTTAAAAACGATTTAGGTAATTATCCTTAAGCAAAACAACAAGAAATCCCGAAAATCCCTCTAACTGACGCTCCGACTCGCCGAGTCCCCTTATGGACTCGTCGAGTTCATCCTACTCGTCGAGCCCACAATGGGACTCGCCGAGTCTGTCAGTCAGGGGCAAAAAAATTTGATTTTAAAGATTGAATGAAGACACAAAGCATCAATACAATAGAAACCAATCAAGGCTCTGATACCACTGATGAGTTTTAGCCAAAAGGAACATCCTATGTGCTCATGCAAACCCTAATGCTTGGATCTAGGTTTCTCTAATTGTACATGCATTCATCCAAGACTTTCAAACCTTAGATCTTGTAGATATAATTCGAAATTATCATTACAAAACAGATCTAGATGATTACCTCTTGTTACTTGCTTGATTATTCTTGTATTTGAAGCTTAGAGTCACAAGTGTCACTCCTCTAATGGCTTACAAACACCAATAGCAAAAGAATGATCTTGGAGAGAGGTTGGAGGCTTCTTGAAATCGGCTCTACCACTCTTAGGGTTAGGGTAGCCGATTTCTGTAGCCTAGGGGTCCTATTTATATTGGAGCTGCTAGGGTTTCAGTCAAAAACCCTAATGGACTGCTTAGGCCTTAAGCTATCCAAGGAAGCTTCTGGAATAGAGCCTTAGGGCCGAAATTAGAGATGGATATCTCCAATTTCGTCCATGCCTAGTCCAAGAGGCTCCTCAGCCCAATTCTCAACTATCACATATTTGACAGTTAAAGTCCCTGATATTAAATTAATATCTTTTAGCCACAAAATTAATTTCTTAATTAATTCTTGTCTAACATTAATTTAATTATATGATTTATCCATTAATATATTATTGATATAACATATTAATAAATCATGATAACCTCTTTATTCACAAATCATCCTATCATGTTGCTTTGGTGAAGGCAACCCAAAAGGACCATGCACAACCGGGTCAAGTACTTACCAAATATAGTTACGAGCTTAGACACTAATCCAACAAGGCAATGTATTGAAAGCCTCATATAAAAGGAAGAAAAGAAGGAAACCAAGGTTAGTCTTTAGTTTATTCGTTTGCTTAGATTATTTGGAAGGGAAAATGTCATTGACACCCAACGAACTAACATGTTTTGGTTAAAAGGTCCCTTATGTTATTTTTTTGTGTTATAAAGGAATGAACTCCACTTTTACCTGCTAATTTGGGCACTTGACCTATTATAACAAGTTTCTAGTGTCAAATAGGATCTGTGAACTCAAAACCCATGATGACATGTATTCTAAGAACTCTATGATTGAAAAATTAACCCTCACGTTTTTCCGGAATTTTAAAAGGGTGAACTCAGACCCTTCTGAAATACCCACACACATCCATAATCCAATCTTCAAAGTCAAACTTACATTAACCAAATTACCTTCTCAACCCAATCGTATTTGCCACGATCTCCTCTCAACCGAAATATCCACATCAATCCATAATCCAACTTTTGATATCAGCACATATCAACATAATTACAACATACAGTTTAATAATATGCAAAATAACTCAAATTCTATTAGATCTAAAACAGTGAACTCCATGATTTTAGATCATCTCTCATAATCCCAAAATTCTCTAGATCTAGATCCAATAACCCAAAACTAACCGGTTGCAAAAGAGTTCCAGACTATATGTTTTGACGAACGATTGAAGAGACATATTTGCAAAACTAAAAGTATGATTTTTCCAGCACAGTTTAAACACTTTTCAAGTTCAAAAATGATGTTTTTTGCAAAAAAAAAACAAATTAATAATTATTATATAAGAAACTATGTAGAAGCCTCATCAATTTTTGTCATCTATGGTGGTTGAATTTGTCATATAAGCATTGAAAAAAGCATTTTTTTTCTTTGTCAAGCATTTCATCGAACAGTTGGGGTGTGTAGCTCATCTTTTTCCCCTGTTAGCCTGTTTTGAAGTACTAAATAGGTACAATCAAATAAACTTGAAACTGGGTGCATGTTTACGACCATTTGAAACCGAATAATATTCAATCAAATAAACTTTAACGACTTTAGGTATGTTGCAGGGGCAATAAGAACAAGATGAGCATGTATAGGGCCATGAAATTAGAGAGGTGATTAACCTATTATTTTTTCTTGCCTTACCATGCTTGCCATTTTTGCGATTTGAGGTGCTATTGGTATTTCGAACCTGTTGAAGTCCTTGATTAATTGAATTATGAGCGAACTCATTATAAGGACCGACAATACCAACAAAAGACCAAAAAAAAACATCTTATTCGGTGAATCAATCAAGAAGTGGTGAAGGAATCAGATATCTTATGAGGATTTCACCATGTGTAACTGTAAGCAAGGTTTTCATGGTCGGATTCTCACTTTCACTTGTTTTTGTTTTTGTTCCTTGATAATCTTGCTTGGAAGCCATCTAGAATCGTTTTTCAGATAGGTGGACGATTATGGTGTCAGATGATCGGTGGAATGGTGGCGGTGTTGGAAATAGGGTAAAGGGAATGGTAGAGGCAGTTACGGGCGACCCCTTCTCAAAAGGGACATGTCATCGTAGTTGATAAGATTGATGAATTGACATCTTATTAAGTGACATGGCAAAATTAAACGTACCGATTAAGAAGGGGTTCACCGGGTGACCCCTTCAATTTCACTTTTCTCAAAAGGAGCTTTTAAGCCCTAAAAACATGAATTCGTACCCTTAGAACGTAAAAAAATAACATAAGTGACATTTTAAACCAAATCATGCTAGTTTGTTGGGCTATTGTGACATTTTCCCTATTTGGAAAGCTTAAAACTCACTGGTCTTCAATAAAAAGAGGTGCACTTTGCATACGCTACTGAGCCCGTAGTAGTTTACCAGATAAATTAAAAAGCCGACATTCCTAGCCCACCAAGAGAAAATGGATCAGTCAGTTTTCAAAACTCAAAACTGAATGAAACATAAATTGTCTTTCAACTTTATTTATTGGTTTAATCGGTGTATTTCTCATTTTTAATGTGTGTAGCTTATATTTTCATTTTTAATGTTTGTATCTTGTAATGTTTGTAGCTTATATTTTTAGTCTAAGTTCTTGATGCTAGTCCTTTTTTTAATACGTCCACTCTTCATTTTTTTTAATTAGATGCATTGCTTTTATGACAAAAATTTTACCCTTAACTCTTAAAGGACTAAATATATGGTTTCCAAAGCTATAAGACAAAGTTGCAATTTTACACACAATCCAAGGACTACTTTCATAATCTATTGTTGGTGGACTTGGTCAAACTCAAGTCAGTCAACTCCTCTAATCGCCAATCCAAGATCGCGGCCTCATAATTTTCAGAATTCACCGCCCAACCACTCATCAATGGCCTCCGATCATCACCACCACCACCACCACCAACACCGTCCCAACCGCCTATCTCTCCCGCCGCGCACGGCCATCCCGATCACCTCATCCCGCCATTACCCTCCCTTCACTCCAACTCCCACCCCCTCCAAAAATCGCCACCGTCTACCTTCCTTCACCGCCACAAAAAACAAAAAAATCTCTCCGTCATCCCTCTTCCTCCTCCTCTTCTCCCTCCGTTCCCTCTACTCTCTCCTTCCGTTTCTCCAATCTTCACCATCTTCGTTCTCAATCTTCCCTTTCGCGTTCCTCGTCTCTCTCCTCTCATTCCTCCTCTCTCTTTCTTTCTCTCTCTTCAAACAGAAATCCATTTTTACGTTTCATCATTCGATCACCAAATCCCAACAACGAATACTCTTCGCTAAATCGATTCTGCTCGCGATCGTCTTCCTCATCCGTTTCCAAGCGCTTCGTTACTGCGGTACCGCTGCTATGATCCTCGCGGAAACGTCCGGTTACGTCGCTTCTCATTTCGTCACCGGACAAAATCGCAGTTTCACTCATCTAGATCGGGTTGGTTCCAATAAGGTTCGTGGATTTTTCGCGTTGTTCATCGGATTATTATTATTATCCATCAGTTGGGATCGAATTGAATGTTTCCCTTTCTCTTTTGTCAACCTCGGTAAACTAGGGTTTTCCTCTTTTCTTATTGCCAATAGAGAGAAATGTGTTAGGGTTTGGCCAATGCTGCTTCCTTTTCTTTCAGGGTTTTTGAGTGGGTACGAACAAGGGTCTATAAATTGGGGAACAATCAGGGAATTGGGTCGGAAAGAGGTTCGACTGATTTCATTGCTCTATACTACTGCTATCCTCTTTGTCCCTGCTGCCATTAGTATGCTGGTCTTCGAAGCAGAGGGAGACAGTGTTTCCATTCGTACCCTTGGGTGGCCATTAGCAAACACAGTAGTTTTCGGAGTGCTTTTGAGTGAGAATTACACCGATGAGAAGCTAATAACCTTCAAAGATTTCCAAAAAGAGTTTCTTGTCACATTCGTATGCACCATTATCCTTGAGTTGCTTTATTATCCTGAACTTTCCCTTTGGGGGTTACTAATCTGTGGTATACTTCTTGGAATTGGTGTGATGGAATTAGATCCTGCTCGTTTAATCTCTCTGGAATTAGGGTTAGGATCATCAGATTCATTTCTAGTTTCAGTCACAAAGTCTATTCGTCACATTATGAGTGAAAGAAAATCAAGAAAAATTGCTCTTTTTCTCTTGATCAATTCTGGTTACATGGTGGTGGAATTTGTTGCAGGTTTTATGAGCAATAGTCTTGGGTTAATATCTGATGCATGTCACATGCTGTTTGATTGTGCTGCACTTGCTATTGGTCTTTATGCATCTTATATTGCTCGATTACCTGCAAACAATCAGTATAATTTTGGTGGTGGAAGATTTGAGGTTTTATCAGGTTATATGAATGCTGTGTTTCTTGTTTTAGTTGGAGCTTTGATTGTTTTGGAATCATTAGAAAGAATCTTGGAGCCTCAGGAGATTTCAACTTCAAGTTTGTTGATGGTTTCAATTGGAGGTCTTGCTGTTAATGTTGTGGGGTTGATCTTTTTTCATGATGAACATCATCATGCCCATGGTGGAGGTGCATCATGTTCCCATTCCCATTCCCATTCCCATTCCCATTCCCATTCCCATTCCCACTCTCATCATCATGATCATGCCCATGTTGGACATGATCATGAAACAGATGATCATAAACATAAACATGATCATGATCATCATGATCATGTTGTCAAGGAGGATAAACAAAAGCAACATCATCATCATCATCATCATATTGATCACAACATGGAGGGAATATTTTTGCATGTTCTTGCAGACACATTAGGAAGTGTTGGGGTTGTAATTTCAACTCTTCTGATTCAATACAAAGGGTGGCTTATTGCTGATCCTGCTTGTTCTATCTTTATATCAATATTAATTGTGTCTTCTGTGATACCATTGTTAAGAAACTCTGCAGAAGTTTTGTTGCAAAGGGTTCCTAGATCTCATGAGAACGAGCTAAAAACAGCTATAACTAGTGTTAAGAAGATAAAGGGTATATCTGGAATTCAGAATTTTCATGTATGGAGTCTTGCAAATAACGATGTTGTTGGGACTCTTAATGTGTATATTTCTGAGGGAATTGATCAGGTTTCTATGAAGGAACAAGTTTTGGATATATTACATGATGCAGGGATCAAGGACTTGACTTTACAGGTTGAATATGTGAGTAGTTAGATGGAAAGATTCCTGCTTTCAAGAATCTTGAAAGGGCTCCAAGATTTGATCATAGAAGGAAAAGATGATGACTTTCTTGTTGGGTTTTGCAAGGTTGACCCATGGTGGTGGTGGTGGTGGAGATTGGCGGCTGAAAACTGAATTTGTATATTGATAAAGAGTTGCCTACACGTTTATCAAACAAGTGAGATTGTAATTGGATAGGATATAATCAAGATTTTGGTGAAATTAGAGGTGCATGATTTGGTTAGTTTATGTATACAATGAATTGACAATTGGTGATTTTATGCAACATCAATTGAATGAAAGTAGGAGTTTAATAGAAATAGCAACTTTTTACATACTTTCTAGTTTCTACACATGTTACATATGGGTTTCTGTGGATAGTTTTTTGCTTGAACTTCCAACATTCTCATATCATTTGCAAAAACCATCATTCTAAAAAAAGTAGTCGTTTCAAGGATTTCAAAGTCTCTTCTTAGCCTATTAAGATGTGCTCTTTAAACTCGGATTATTTCCTTTATATCTCGCCTTTATTGAATCCCACAACTGATTTATAGTCTCCTTTTTTGCTACTATTTCATGATTGTGCCAAATCTACACATACCATAATGTGTGATTCATGGGGTGTAAAATGAACACACGATGACACTTATCATGAATTTTCTAACATCACATTTGCTAGACCATCAAATGTGAATCATGGTGCCATATAACCATACTATCCGAAACACTCCTCATGTGTGGTTTTAAAACAATTTTTAAAACCAAGTAGTTTTAGTTCTAAATAATTTAATTGCTGAAAATACATAATTAAGGCCCCAAAGTCCAAAATATAAGTACTCTGTTCAAAATACAAGATATCATCGGTTAATCTAAACCCATAGTTAAAAAATGTAACCACTACAAAAACATGGCCTTCTAAATATCATTCATATCTTCAATCTCTCTTCTTCCAATCATCTAGGCATATATCAAAATACAAGTGTTAAGCTTGAAAATCCTAATGAACATATTTGTGGTTGGATCTTTAAGAGTTTTGGATAATGTAGATTATTCGAACTCAAAGTCAAACCTCCAAAAGTAGTTTGTAAAACTGAAGATACTATTTAGGAACAGAGAAATTGTGATTTCACTATCAAATCAAAGTATTTGGGTGGTACTCCCTAATCTTTGATTAGATAAAACTCAGAAGAGATTAGGAACAGAGAATGTGATGTATGAATTTCGTTAGTACAAAAAAATTGACCAAAATTGGTTAAATACCTCATTTGTCTAAAAACTGTCATAAAACAGTTTGGCAACAGTAAAAAACCGTCATAAATCCGGGTTTTCTGTAAGGATTAATACCAAACCAAAAAACGGGTCAAATATTCTAAATTTGGATTTCTGATACATTTTCAATACAACAATATAACCCAAATAAAAAACAGCCAGAGGCTCTGCCCCTTGGGCCCCGCCAGAGGAGGCAGCCCCTTGGACCCCGTTCCCAGGGGCGCTGCCCCCGGACCCCTGTTCGTTCAGGGGCTTCGCCCCTAAATGACAGTCTACTTTTAATCTTGAATAAACTTAAACAAGTGTGCACTCCGCACCTTCCTTGTTTAATATTCATCAAGATTGATTTTGGTCAACAAGTCAACCCATTACACATAAATACAATTAGTGAAACAAATCACCAACATATACAATATAGTTAAGGAAAGTAGCTTAAACCAAAATAACACTGCTTAAAACCTTTAACATTCCACAAAACAAACAAATAAATAATTAAAGGATGCAATGAAAAATACTTCTAAATCCCAATCCAAGTCAACCTCAACAAACCAAATCTCTCAAGTGCTAGTTAACAAATGTCACCTTGTAAATTAGTTAACACATAACACAACTATTTAACCGTTATCAATTCTGAAAACTAGATACCAGTAGACCATCATACTAGACCACATGTGGGGTTGCAAGTCCATATGTTCATGTGAGACTGTCACACCCCCAAACCGGAACGGCGGAAACGTTCGGGGGCGGAGGACATCATGTACAGTATCAAAACAATGAATAATAATAATTAAAGCAAAAACAACCATTGTATTAACAATATAGTATTTACATTGTATTCGAATCACAGCTGATTGACTCCAAAAGTAAATAGCAAAAACAAAGTCTTGAAGTTACTATGCTCCAACTTCTCGGACCCTGTGCGTGTACCCGTCTACTAGTTTCCTAAGAATACAAGTGGTTTTGAAAGTGTATCAACATTTAAGTTGGTGAGTTCATAAGTATTTTGTTTTAGAAAGTAAGTTCTTTGTTCTTTGAAAATATTCATGTGTTTCTCCAGAAAATTCTATATTTTCTTATCAAGTAAATGACCATACTAGTTCCTTCTACGATTACCTAGTGTATATAAGTTATATATAATTCAGTTCGGATGGACAATCGAATGCGTGAATCTGCCCTAAGTCCACAACCAAACAAGGAACAAGAAATGAGGCGGAAGTCATACATTCCACTGTCTATCGGATCCTTATTATATATAACCCTATCGTATCCGCTAGGTAATCGTAGAGTTAATATTAAAGGTTGTTTTAAACATGATGAGTGCGTTCCTTTAGAAAATCTTATATTTTCTTAGTAAAATGGAATGTATTTTTATGCTTAAAGAATGATATATGGCACTTTAAATTCGTATAAGTAAAATGACCAATAATAATTCCTACCATGATTACTTAGTGCATACAAATTATATATAAGCAAAGATCGTACGGACAGTCAAATGTGTGGATCTGCCCTAAGCCCACAACCAAACAAGGAACAGGAAGTAAAGCGGAAATCACACATTCCATTGTCTATCGAATCTTCATTATATGTAACCCAAACGTATCCACTAAGTAATCACATCGAAAAGTAAGTAATCATGTTTGTTTCCAGAAAGATAAATTGTAAACTGTTTTTTTGTAAATCAATGATGTTTATCCCGAAAAATCCTATATTTTCCACAATAGTGAGTTGTAGTCTTTAATGTTCCAAGACCGAAAATACAAATATTTTACCATACTTATATTAATAACATGTAATTTTATCATTAAGTAAACCTAACTGAAGACATGTTTGTTTTGTAAACTGGATGAAATGTTAGTACCCTATCATGATTACTTAGTACACACGAGTTATATATAATCAAGATCGAACAGGAAGTCCATTGGATGATTCTGCCCTAAGCCCACAACCAAACAAGGAACAGGAAGTAAGGTGGAAATCACACATTCCACTGTCTACCAGATATTCATTATATATAACCCTGATGTGTGACATCCCCATTTTTCACGGCCAGAAAAGACCGATTTTGTTTATGCTTTGTTTGAAAATCAGAGTAACATTTCAAATAAAAGTGTTGCGGAATTTGTTCCCAAAATAAAATATGATAAAGATTTATCAAAGCATTTCCAAAGAAATGTATTTCATTAAAAACCTCGGGATGTCATGTTTGATACAGATCAAAAGCATAAACAGTACAATATAAGCCTTACTACATTTATTCATATCTACAGGCCTATATCCGTAATCTCTCATCCCAAATATCATATCTATGCTCGTACGCCACTACCTGTAATACAAGAAACTGAGTGGGTCAGGCTTGGGAGCCTGGTGAGCACATAGGGTTTTCAACCCACAATAATTAAGTTTATTAAGTTTATCAAACCAAACAAGCCCGATTACCTGTTCCCGTTATCCTCACTTTACGTCCCTAAAATATCTAACACAAGGGACCTAGTTTGAGGACTTTCATCGGGGTGACAACACATGCTTCGGGGGTTCCTCAGCAATTCATGTCAAATAGGGCAACCATGTGGGGGATGGAGTACTGCTGGTGAGCACACAGTTCAAATAAACACCTATAGGTTGCGAGCCTGCTAGCGTTCCACTAGACTGTCTAGAATAGTCCGTGGTCGTCATCTATACTCCGCTAGATGACTGGATCATCAATACATCTATAACGAGGCCTCTTATTATTTTATTTGGTCACACAGCAACTATTAAATCTACCCATGTTTTACCCAACACATTTTGTAGATATAAAATACATATACAGCTTAAATCATTTAAATCATGTATAGAAAATCTTTCATCAGCATAGACAGCAAGTATTCAGACAATATGCACACATAGCACGTAGTTTATATTAAGTACTTCATATCTATGTGTAAGATGAAATGGACTATGCACTCACTTGTTAATGTGGTGATTCCGAACTTGGACAGCACTTCGTTATTCTTAAAACAATTTCATTCGACAAAACCTAGTACCATTACCACTAGGGTTTAGTCAAATATTCACTGAGACTAATTAATAGTCTAGCTATTATTACTATTATATAAGCGTTAAACAATACTCTTCACCCACTATGTACAGACAGGGACCACACATAAAACACCGGAGGGCAGGACCATTTTGGCATATAACACTTCTGAAATCCAACAGCCCTATGCGGCCCTTTAAACGAGATTCCCCGTACTGCGAGTGGTTAAAAAGATATTATACCGACACTTATATAACTCATAATAATAGCCTAAATAATTATGATAAGGTCCTAATAACGTTACTATAATTAATTAAAAGCCATATTACAAATAGCGTAGGCGTAGCCCACTTACAGCGGGTTTTCTTGAAAACCGGCCTTCGCTTGGAGCAGCGTTTCCGAACCTAAAGACCCTTTTTCTCGGGACTCCGGGAGCCTCGGGGCTTCCTTCGGCTGCTAGGGGGTTTACCTAGGCTTAGGGGGGGTTAGGGGGGTAGTGAGAGAGAGAAGTGAATTTGGAGTGAAATTATCGGCAGCCTTCGCAGGGTATTTATAGCCCCCAGCTTCGGTGCGTACCGAAGGCGTACGCTGGGCGTAGGCTCGGATAAGAACAAAACGCGTCGCTTCGCTGCTGGGTCATCGTGGCTCTTTTCGGACCGCATCCTTCCGTGAACGTGGGGCATAGAATCTCGTACGCAGGGCGTACTTCGGTACGCATGGCGTCCTAAGGTACGCTGGGCGTACCCCCTTCGCATAGCTTCACAATTTCACACTCCGACTTCAAAAATTCGTATCTTTAGCGTACGAGCTCCGTTTTCGATGTTCTTTATAGCCACGCTTAGGTAAAAAT